GTGGGCCCCACCCACAGTCATATCTCTTAGTGCAGCATTTGCCCTGTGGAAAAGCATCCCCCTGATAATTTGGATGAGCCCAACCCTTTGACATTGAAGACAAGGCTGATTCTCCAGGCATTTGTGTCAGGTGAGTAAATGACCTCTGTTACTATTGATGGTGAGTGGGGTCATTGTTTATCCTTGGGCACTGGGGGTTATGTTTGGTGGGTTTGTACGTTTTAATCCTATAAGCCACCCGAAGTCATTTATGTGAGACAGTTAATTATATAAATTAAATAAGTAAAACACAAATAGAATAGTCAAATATGAAAATATTTCATTTATATACATGCACATACAATTTTGAAGCATACTCTCCCACTGCGCTTTTGCCCCTTTCCCAAACATCAGCTTTTTAATTGTGCATGTAGTGAAATCTATACTTTTTTAGAATTCATTTTGTCCTCCCTCCCCCATTATATTAGAGTATTTTCCCAATTATGTGCAACTGATGAAGTAACCTAATGAGAATGAAGCCCGTAGGAATACCAGAGAGAAGAATAATGTATGACTAATCCTTAGGGATTGGAAGGATTTGAGTTTCAAGACAATGAAAGAAAATCCCTTGAGCCAATGTTCTCCGACCCAACACCCTCCAGATGTAATGGGCAACCACTCTCATCATGCTAGCTGGGGACACTGTTGCATAAAGCTAAGAAAAAAAGAGGGGTACTGCTAGAAAGAAAGTTTTGAATAGTTATTGTGTGAAATAGAAAATGAATGATAAACTATGAGCAAAGGCTGTTTATTAAAAAAAAAAGTCTAGAGCAGTCATTTCTCTCCAGATGTGAAAAATAACAGCATGATTGGTAGAGAATTCTGGGAGTTGAAGTCCACACATCTTAAAAGTTGCCATGTTTTATGTGTCATTAAAAAACTCAAAACTTTACAAGAGAGGCAGTAGAGGTGAATGTGGCTCTGGCCTTAATTCACGTAGCCTTTCCCCCCCAGCAATTATTTTCTTTCCAGAGTGTTCTTCAGAAGCACATTTCTGGATAGCATTATTAGTGGGTGATGAGGCCCCTCCAACCTTAATTTTTGAACTCCTGCAGGTTCATGAATGGTAGAAGTTCATTTATATAGAAATCATTGCAGTTGGTCCCGTCTTTAGATCCACATTATCAGGAAAAGAGCACAGGGTATGCATGATCTGTTTACTTAGTTTTGGCAAGCTTTAATAATACTAAACTTCTCCATTAAGATCTGGTGTGACAATAAACATTGAAGCCTTGGTGCCTGATGTTTGTGCACAGGTGCCTCAGTTTCCACTCAAAACATCTGGTCCCTTGACAAATTGTTACAGTTACTGTTCCTCACCACACTGTTGGTCCCTGGAAGATTGCAGAGCCCTACGGCACACGTACTGCTAGGGATCTGTTCTCAAGTTGTTGCCATGAGCTAGCCGTATGATGACAATTAGAGGCAGTTAGTGTGCAGATGAGACTTGCGAGTGGCAGGTGGCGAGGATGAGACTCAATTAACTAACATGCACAAAATCCCTTCCTAATGAGGCTGGGCCAGCCCAGATGAGCAAAAACCATGTGTCTCTGACAGCAACAGAGGACTGGAAGTTGAAAAGGAGAGAAAGTGGTCAACAGGTATTAGCAGTACAATGAAAATACTCTTCCAAGTTCCTTTTGGGCTAGGAGTCAAATAAATTGTGGTTTTGGTAATAATAAAGACTGTTCGCTTGTCTTCAGCAAATAAACCCATTGTGTTTGAATGTGCTTTTGGCCCTTAATCATTCTTGGGACACCCATTTATGTGTTTCTAGCACTAAATTTTATTGTTTTTTTCATTGTTACTTATTCAGTGTCTGTTAGCATTTGATAAGATGTATATCCTGGAAAATAAATGCCGATTTTCTATATATAATTTGTGTGTGTATGTATGTGTGTGTGTGTGTAATATATGATTTCACATGCCAACAGTCATCAATCCACCCCCTTGATTCAGCCTGATGAAAAAAATTGAAAATCAAACTTTCCTTACTATTATCTGGCAAGTTAATTGGTCCAAAAATATTGCTCTGTCATCAATTATGTAGAAGTATGTTCTATGTTTTAGTTGTCTATTGCATAAACATATAATATCCATAATATTCTCTATTTTAATTAATGTGTATTCTGATTATTTTTGTTTTATTTTAAAATCTAACAATGTAAAATTTATCTGCTTCTTTTCTTTTATCATTTGACTGGTTTCCATGCAGTTCATAAAAAGTTTGAAATATTGTCCAACTACATAGGATGAGAGGGTGTCTAAAGGTGGAAAATAAGGATCAGTGGGGGTGGGCATAGGAGGATATTGATCTTGACTTTACTTGCAGATTTTTCTTTGGAAATACAAAAGAATGAATATAAAAGAATACATTCTTTTGTACATACAAAAGAATGAAGGCTATTGCTATAAGTGCATTGTAAGCCGCCCTGAGTCTTCGGAGAAGGGCGGCATATAAATTGAACTAATAAATAAATAAATAAATAATAAAATGATGTCTTAAGCCAGGTTCCAAAATTGAAATAATCCTGAATAGAGAATATTAGGGATACAAGAATAATTTCATACATGCACAGAGACTTCATCCTGCCTCCTGAGTCTCTCAGCCATCGGAATAATTTTAGTCCAGGAATCTCAACCTGATTTCCTAATTTATAAGCATTACTACTTTGGATGCTGCCTTCAAAAATACTTTGGAATACGGGTGACAGAGGGAAAGGGCATGGCTACTTTGAGGAGTTGCAAACATATGCCCTGCTTCTATTTCTGCAAGTTCCCAAATCTAATCTAAAGTGCTTTATAGTCGGCATCTCTTTTATGCTGTTACTAAAAAAAGTAACTCTAAGACAGAGGAATCTTGAATAAGGGACAAGAGTGAAACTTAACCCAGCCCTCCCCAACTAGTTTCTTTCATAGATCTTGGGCACTCATTTTCAAAAAGGCAATTCAAATTGGGAACACTAAAATCATACTGTTAATATATCTAGAAGGCACCAAGAAGAAAGCTGATTTGGTCTATAACACTATAATATTTACAAGACCTGTATATTGAGTTTTATGGGAAAAAATCCTTAACTGTTACACTGGGTTTTCGCAGGTTGATTCTGCAACCAATGGAAATCCATAATGCCGTAAGAGAAGAAGTATAATCATGCCCAATACATTCTAATCTATTCAGAACTTTTAAAAAGCCCCAATCAACTGGAAATGTCCATAGAAAGTTCCTTGCCAGCAATTGAGCTGTCAAATTATGTTTGTCCGAAACAGTACAGAGGTATTGTTTCTAATTACTGTGATAACGCTCAGTTTTGACAGCTGCAATACCTGGTTCAGGATAGCAGTTAACAAAAGTCAACCATTAAATGTGTTTTCTAAAAACATGAATTAGGAAGTTATTACCTTTCAGCAGCTCCAGCTAATTAGATGAGACAAGTTGAAGTTAATTTGGTGGAAAAGATTTCTTGACTTAATGACATTTATGGGTAATTAGGCATTTTGTAAGGGAGGAGTACACATTTACATTTCAGCTTATTTTCAGTACCCAGTCACCTCTTTTTTTCACCAGAGGCTTCATATTCTCTAAGGAACAGCTTTAAACACAGATAGCAAGCTGGATCCCCTTGTTATTCTGGAAGCTAACAATTATTTGCACAGCAAGTTATCACACAGAATGGAGGACCATGGAGCCAAAATTAGGCATTATAATAGCAATAATAATAGCAATAGTAATATACTTCTTCCTCTTCATGATTGCCCTGACTAAAGCTTCTTTGAGCACTTTCAGATCCAATTCCTTCTAATAGTTTTGTGTTTTGATGGGCTCTGGCTTTGCTGTGCAGATCTGTCTTGTATTCTCAAGAGTTCTGTATTGTTTTATAAACATTATCATCTAATTATGTAAAACTATGCCGGATCATATCAGCCTGTGTGCCTTCAGATAATAGCCTGTTCTAGCACTACTGGAAAACTAGAAGAGACAGATAGTGGCAGATCAGCTTAGCAGAGAAGGTTTATTTAGTTAATGTCCACAAATTCATACCAGCTTGATGGCATATTCTCGATTAAAATAAAAACACCCAACTTCATTAAAATAACCTACTGCAGTGAATATCAGAACTGAATGTTATGCTTACTTCTCTGTGCTCAAATGGCCTTGGTAGCCTTTAAATTAATCAGTGTTGCATTCAACATGCTTGTTCATCAAATACATTTGCAAAATAAATACAGTCAGGAACTTTTCAGGATGGGCAGTAAACTGAGCAATTGGTGTTTTTGTCTGCAGAAGGTTTTTTTACCTTTTCCATTTAATCAAGCCAGTAATACAATTTGTTTAAATTTATGATGTTGCTTATTATAGATTGCTATTGGCTAGAGAGGCATCTCTAATCAATCAGCACACTGTAATAGAACTATTAATTAAATATATCTTCATTCTACATTTTTGATAAGCTTACCAAAAGTTGTAATAAACCTGCTAAAAATAATAACAGATAAGTAACCAAAAAAAAAGTTTTGCCAAGAAATGAAATGGCTCAGCAGGTATAAAATGCACAAATATGTGTGTTTTAAGCTCTATATGTTCCCCTGCCTCAGAGCATCTTATTTTTCTGTGTTTCACATTTCTGTTTATTGAGTTCTGACACTTCTGTCAAATAGTGATTCTGGCCTCATTTCTGAAGGTCTTTAAAATTCAGTATACTACAGAAACAATGTTTCCTCACTTCCTACTGAATCACATTTAATTTTAAAACAATGCCCCTTGATCTATAGACCTTAACATTTCATATTTCACAGAGTTTCCCTGACATGAATCACAAACTGGTTGGACTCAAAAGGGAGAAAGAAGGGCAGTTCCACTGGTGCCAACTGCAGCTTCTGTTGCCTGACCTAATGGGGGTTTGCTTGGGCACAGCTGCATTGGCTGCTGGCCACAGATGGCTGAAATCCGGGCAAAGATTCAGTGTAAACAAGGCCAAAGATCAGCAGGCCAAGAATTCTGTTGTTTAAAGTACCATCAGTCATCTTTGGCAAACTGCAATAGTATGTTAAACTTTCTTTTTTTCTGGCAGGAAAAATTTAAGAAGCTCCAAGGCAGAAATGGAATTGAAGGTACAAGCAGAGGTAAACAATTAGCCTAGATTTAATTGATCCTTAACAGTTTGCTAACTGATGATATTTATGCATCACGGACTTCACTTTGCTACCTGAGGAAAAGATGGAACCCATCTCTACTATTTACAGAAGATGATCAGATATTAACACCAGAGATGAGATGCACAATTTTAAGGTAACAAAGTATTAACATTGTACCCCTTGTTCTTGTTTCTAGTTTCCAAAATCTCAGGCAAATGCCCCACTCTACCTTATGACAACCCGGCCTTCAAAGAAGACAGCCTGCTTCTCAATACTTGGCTGTTGTGCTGCAGGCCTGCTGTGAATTTCTCAGAGGCATCTGACCAGCCTCTGTGGATACAGAATATTGAACTAGAATGGGTTGTGGTCAGATGTAGCAAAGACATTTTCTGTGAGAATTAAAAAAAAAAAACCCTAGAGCAAAGAGGCTCTTTATTATTTAAATACTTCTGCTGGGGAAGAGAGGGGAAGGGAGGGAGGGAGGAAGGGAGAGAGAGAGAATGAGAATGAATCTTACATTCTTGATGAAGTATAAAAACAGCAAATTCAAACTCTTCCACTTGAAGAGATGTGGCATTGGTAATTCCCACTGGTGGCAATTTGAGAGCGATAGAAGGGAGTAGAAGTGCCTCTCTATTGGCAGACTCTCTGTCCACAGTGGCATCTTGATATTTCAATCAATTGCCATATGTATATAGACCTTCTGTCAGTGGTGTTTTCTCCAATGATGGGTTCAAAAGTGGGGCATTTGTGGGACATTCCAAAAACTGATATCCAGTCCATTGGTTTGTTGGATCAAAATTCTCTTCCTGTCTCCAACAATTTCAAAAATCTGGCCTTACTCCTACATATCTTTTGAACTGGTAGTGGTAAATAATTTACTACACAACAACCCATTTTTATTTAGGATTACTTGGCAAGAAGGCCAGATGTTTTACAGACAACTTACATTGCAAAATACTAAAAATGTCCTTGTTTCAGGAAAGCTTATTCACTGAAATATAAGAGTACTTAATTCTATTCTGTACTATAACTTTGACTCATGATGGAAGTTACAATATTTAAACACAGGTGTTTGTTATAACTCTCTTGACCTTTAATATGAACTCCAAAGAGAAATATTGAATTTTAAGATCACTATTGTCAGATGCCTCCGATAAGTGTAAAAAAGCACACATTCTTCAAAAGTTTGATTTTACTGAAACGCTCATGCTAATTTATACATTTTTTTCCTTCCATTCAATCATGTCTAATTCTCAGAGATTTCCTGGACAAGTCCCTGCAGTTTTCTTGGCAAGGTCTTTCAGAAACAGTTTGCCGTTGCCATAGGTTGAAAAAAGAGTGACTGGCCCAAAGTCATCCAGCCGACTTTGTGTCTAAGATGGGACTGGAATTCACAGTCTCCCAGTTTCCAACCTGATGCCTTAACCACTACATCAAACTGGCTCTATTGTATACATTGGGTTGTTTTAAATTGCTCTGCATTACAATATGCAACAAACCTAACCTCATTATGCTTTGTTGAAGTAAATTGTATTTTGAAATCAGTTTTCATTTGTGACTAGACTCAATATATTTTATTTCAACAAATATGCTTTTTGCAGCCAGTTATTCAGTTTGCTGCAATGTGCTTTAAATAAGCTCTTATTAATCACCGCTAACCCAAATTAACTGATAGGATCTGTGTCTGGATGTTCCAACTTTTCCCTCTATTCCTATCCCATCCTAGCTATGAGATTTTTCCCCATTTATTTTTTGTGTAATGTTACCTTATTGGGAAATAATGTATGTAAGTGGAATTTTAATTGTAGGGATTCTCTAAATTTAAAACTAGAAATTTTAAATCTGAGATATTTTATTTGAAGCAATTTACCACAGCTATTTTGTAAAAGAATCTGATAATCTGGATGCATTTTTGAGTTTATGTAACATTTAGGCATCATAGCATTTCCCCACGATGAAAGAAATTTTCTGTGATTACTCACCCAATTTGAGACATGCTGCCTTAAAATCTAGAGTTACAAAAGAATGATATATGGATATCTTTGAGGGCCTATCTGAGGCTTAGTATTCTGCCTTACATTCAAAATGAACTTGGGGCAGTTCCTGCGAGAAAAGGAATTTTAGAAAATTAGGACTGAGGTCAAGAGAAACTGTGCATTTTTTAAATCCTTTGGTTCTCTGACCAGTAAGGGGCACTGTTAATCAGTCAGTAACGGAAGGACCAATAGTTGTTGGGGGCTGCTGATTCACACAGACACAATACCACAATTTATGTTGAGCAGATTGTCAAATGTAACTATTTCATTGTAAATTGAGGTAGTTCTACAATTATCAACTAATTAGAGGTGTTCACTATAAGCTAGAGTTAAACAAGCACATGCAATCACTTTTAGTTCTTTATTTCCTTCAGGTAAGACATTTTAGGAGGGAGAGATTTGGCATGAAGCAATACAGAGGGAACAGAAGGAGGAGTTCATTTATTTAAATATTTATTATCAATAATGTTTTGACTTATACTAGGTGGTCAATTGACTTTGATTTTACCTGGGACTTGTGGCCTGGCAGAAAGCAGTTATAACCTCCCATTTTAAAATCCTCAGTGTTTCATCTGGCCTCTTGTTAATACCAGGGGCAAATGCTAGTTAGATATTCAGAATGACTAAGGAGCAGACAGGCCTAGAATGTTATGGGATGAGCCATATGTGTTCCTCCTCCTCAAATGTCCACCCTCAAATTCCCATCCCTGTTAAGGGGAACTGAGATTAGGTGTAGGCAGCACTGACGTGCCTGCAAAGGGTTTGTGTGTGTGCTTTGGTGCTCCTGTACATTTCCAGATGGGGAAAGGCACATGGTGGTCACAGCAGTACTATGGAGGGTGTTGCAGAGAAGGCTCGCTCCTTTCTTGGCCCTTCACAGATGGCTTTTGTCCCTATACCGTAAGTCAAAGGGTCAGCACTCTGTGCTTTGCTGTGTGCAGACAAAAGCGTTCCTTGAAAGGTAGGCAGGGGTTCTGGCTTCCCACTTTGTCCAGCTGGATATTCACTCTTCTCCCTGCACAGAGAGTGGAATGATATGCATTGTAGCATATAGTATTTCCTCTGGGCAGAAGAAGCAGTGAAGTTTCTCCCCCTCCCGCCAAGGAAAGGACTCTATGCAGGACGAAATGGTAAGGCCAGTGTGTCCTGCATGTGCTGAGCAGTGGATGATGTAAAGGGTGCAGCTTTGTGGAAGAGTTCCATTCCCTTGTCCTACCTCTTGATATCAGGTAGAAACACTGAGCACCTGACCTCACTCTCTGTCCATGGTCTACACATCTCTTTTCTTTGCGGTGGTTCAGACAGAATCATTTTGCATATTAATTCCTCTACTGAATCAATCTACGCAATTCTAGGATATGCCACATATACATTACATCACAATTTTAAATTCTATATACTGTGACTATCTTTTATTTTCAGTAATTTAGGAACAATGCTATATGGATGGGATGGATGTTCCATATATATGTTGGGGGTGGGAACTAAATCTAGCTTATATGAAGGTATGAATTTCTAGCTGGCAATGCAAATTAAACTTACAATCATTTTATGAATTGCCCCTTTCTTTCTTTCTTTTTATTAAAGGAAGGCTCATTAAAATGGGACTATAAATTCACCACCTGCAGAGCACTTGGTTGTTTCAGATTTGGGACAGGAATCCTTCTTTGGCATATTTGTTTGGGTGTGGGGGTCATCCCCCCTTAGGGTAGAAATCCAGCTGCTTCCTATGGGGTTGACCAGATCTCTTCAAATGATTGAAAGATGCCAGAAAGCAGGAATTGAAAGATAATTATTCCAACTGTAGTGAGCTACTTTGAAAATGAATAGAAGCTGTCAGACAGTCATTTGAAAGCAGGAGCTGCCTGCCAGGACAGAACATATTAAATGGATATATGAAAAGGCAAGCAAGGTGGCATTTGATTTTGGTAATAAGCATGAAAATTTGATGGAAAGAAAGAAAGCTATCAAGTTATTAGAAAATTAAAAATGCTAATATTTTTCTCAGGAAAATATTTTGTCCTTTATAAACTGAAAGCAAAAACACCTTGTTCTGCCTATAAAGATATGAAAATGTAAACTTCCATGCTGCTTTGAGATTTTCCATATACAACTGATGTTTTGTTCAACAAAAGAATTCCTATTTTCCCCATCTAATTCTCCTACTCTCCCCACAGTTTTGGGAAAGCAATCAACTTGCAAACACATCCTTATGTAGACATGTTTGATCTCTCCACAATGACATGTACACATTTGGAGGAATCTACGATTGGTGTTAAAATCGGTGGTAGGAATATCAACAATCTCCAATATGCAGATGATACAACATTGCTCATGGAAAGCAAGAAAGATCTGGAGTGGCTAAAAACCTCAGAGTCAAAGATGAAAGTGAAAAATTTGGACTGCACCTTAACATCAAGAAAACAAAGATAATGACAACTGCAGAAAACACACAGAGCAGATAGCAGATTGACAATGAGACCATCAAAACAATAAAGGAATTAATCTTCCTGGGCTCTAAAATCAACAAAAGTAGCAATTGCAGACCTGAAATCAGAAGGAGTATAGCACTTGGAAGAACTGCAATGTCTGGCATGAATAACATCTGTAAGAGAAAAGACATCAGCTTCAGAACCAAATGCAGATTACTTAACACAATAATTTTTCCAATTGCTTCTTATGGCTGTGAAATTTGAACTCTGAAAAAGGAAGATGGGGAAGGTGGACCTCTCTGAATTGTGGTGCTGGAGCAGGGGTGAAATCTAGCAGGTTCTGACAGGTTCTGGAGAACCAGTAGCGGAAATTTTGAGTAGTTTGGAGAACCGGCAAATACCACCTCTGGCTGGTCCCAGAGTGGGGTGGGAATGGAGATTTTGCAGTATCCTTCCCCTGCCACGCCCACAAAGCCATGCCCACAAAGCCACACCATGCCCATAAAGCCATGCCCACAGAATCGGTAGTAAAAAAAAATTGAATTTCACCACTCTGCTGGAGGCAACTATTACACATCCCATGGAGTGCAAAAATAACAAAGAAGTCATAGGCGGACCCTCACCATATCACTTGATGCCAAATTCACCAAACAGAGGCTGTCATACCGTTCTTTGGTCATGTCATGAGAGCGGACTCACTTGAAAAGTCAATCATGCTGGGAGTGATCATTGGAAAAAAGGAGAAGGGGCCACCCTAATACCCACAGGCTGGACACTACAAAGGATGAAAACAGGATGACCGTGACAGTGCTGAAGGAGGCGGTGAGAGACAGGGGGCATGTAGAGTGCTGAACCATAGTGTGGCTGAGTGTCAGACACGACTGAATGGCTGATGATGACGATGACTGTCCAGCAAATAGTCAGTGATGGCTACTCTCACTGTTGC